TACTGCTTTGGAATGGAATTTTTCTTACTTTCTCAAAATAAATGATAGGAGTGAAGTAAGCTCCTTATAAGCTGGTTCAAAGCGAGTGTTCAGTTTACTCAGAAGGTAAATGGGCAAAGTATATGAGCTGACACATCTTGCAAAAGAGAAGATGAAAAAGACTGATAAGATGTAAATGAGACTTTTTCACATACACATGCTTATGTTATTATTGGTGAAAAGAATATAAAAATATGTGTTTTGATAAAATATAAATTTGAACTGGTTAAAAGGTGTACATAAGGGAAGAAAAGAGGTCAAATGTTATCAATGATTATTTTGGAGGAGTGAGGATTACAGGTGATCCGGGGGTGTCTCTTAGATGCTTTTTAGATTTTTTGCAAATTGTCTATAGTGAGCACATCTTATTTTATAATAATGAAAAGAAAACCACATGAAAGAGCTTGTCCTCTGCCACAGTGTACAACCTGGGCTGCCTCCTCCTCCTGGCCAGGCCAGCCTTCCTCTTCAGGGACATCATAGAGCCACTTTTCCTTCCACCACTCTGTGACATTTCAAAACATAGGTGCTGGATGAGAAGGGGGTAGTTCACTCTAATGGGTCCCCTGAGGAAGGACCTCACTTCATAGGAGCAGCCCACCCTCCCTCAGTATGATGGTGTCTTCTTTAGAGTAGATACCATACACCCCATCTGTCATTTTTATATTTGGCCTTTTCCATGCCAGAGGTGCATGAACATGTTACTAGTGAATCTGGAGGAGGGTCAGACAAACACTGGGACCTTTGCCTCCACACTTTCAAAGTGATTACTTTTTTGGAAACAGTTTATTAACACTTTGTGTCCTTGCTACTTCTAAAAAGTTTGGAAGCATTTTAGCATACCCATAAGATAGATTCATGGTGATTGCTCTAGGAACTCTAAAATGGCATGCTTAGAAATGCCATTTTTGGCCCTATAACTGTCTCCAGAAACACAGGTGTCTCAGCACCTCTTTCCTGGGAGGGTAATTCACATTTACTGTCTGCCCTATCCCAGATTTGTGCTACAGACTTAGTAGCAGATCAGCTTTTGCTTGTTGTTCTTTGCACATTTTGCAAAGGCCAGGATGGTTTTAGTTGTCGATCTAATGGCTGGGTGGCCCCACTTGAAGAAAGCTTACATGTTAAGGAAACTGTGCTTTAAAGGCGGGTGTGGTTATATACTTTACCCTCAAAATGTTTGAAATTATTCCATTTACCTGAAAGTTTCCATAACTATTGTATATAATGGGGTATATCTGGTTTTAATTTCCCTGTGATTTTTATTTCCTAAGGAAAGGACTACCCATTAATAGAACACCATTTGTCTTTTCTTAGGTATCTCACCACTGGCCTTCTGTGTAGAGAGTGTGTACAAGCTTTTAATGAGTGGTTTCTGGGTTGTTGTTTTTTTTTTTTTTTTTTTAAGGAACAGTGTGATTTTTTTTTAAGCTAGCATTCACTGAGCATTTGGGTAACTCATGTAATCCTTATAGCAGTCCTGTGAGGGAGATGATACCTTGTTACCCATTTACAGATGGGGCAGTGCAGAGGCACAGAGAAACCACTTGTCTGGGAGCTCCTGGCAGTGAGCAGTAGCCCTGCTGTGAGTTGGTCCTGGGCAGGTGCCTCAGGCCCTGCTCTTAAGGCAACAGTAACCTTTGTCCACCTCATGTGTCAAGCAGGTGGTTTTGATGTATTGAGCCAGGTTGTATATACACAGGGAAATATATCTGTGGTAGAAATTTTGCTCATCAGACAATTAAATGACAAGTTCTTTTTTCTAATATATTTTATTGATTATGCTATTACAGTTGTCCTATTTTTTCCCCCTTCACTCCCCTCCACCCTGTACACACCCTCTCCCACCCATATCCCCCCCTTTAGTCATGTCCATGTGTCATACTTATAAGTTCTTTAGCTTCTAGATTTCTCATACTATTCTTACCCTCCCCCAATCTATGCTACTTATTCTCTGTACCTTTTCCCCTCTCTCCTCCTCCCACTGCCCTGTTGCTAACCCTCCATGTGATCTCCATTTCTGTGATTCTGTCCCTATTCTAGTTGTTTGCTTAGTTTCTTTTGGTTTTGCTTTAGGTGTGATTGTTAATAATTGTGAGTTTGCTGTCCTTTTACTATACATGTCTTTTCTCTATCTTCTTTTCTTAGATAAGTCCCTTTAGCATTTCATAAAATAAGGGCTTGGTGATGACGAACTCCTTTAACTTGACCTTATCTGAGAAGCACTTTATCTGCCCTTCCATTCTAAATGAGAGCTTTGCTGGATAGAGTAATCTGGGATATAGGTCCTTGTCTTTCATGACTTGGAATATTTCTTTCCAGCCCCTTCTTGGCTGTAAGGTCTCTTTTGAGAAATAAGCTGACAGTCTCCTGGGAACTCCTTTGTAGGTTACTGTCCCCTTATCTCTTGCTGCTTCTAGGATTCTCTCCTTCATTTTTACCTTGGCTAATGTAATTATGATGTGCTTTAGTGTGTTTCTTCTTGGGTCCAACTTCTTTGGGGCTCTCTGAGCTTCCTGGACTTCCTGGAAGTCTATTTCCTTTGCCAGACTGGGGAAGTTCTCCTTTATTATTTGTTCATATACGTGCTCAATCTGTTGCTTTTCCTCTTCCCCCCGCTGGTACCCCTATAATTCGGATGTTGGAACGTTTAAAGATGTCCTGGAGGTTCCTAAGCTTCTCCTCGTTTTTTTTGAATTCTTATTTCTTCATTCTTTCCTGTTTGGTTTTTATTTTTTCTTCTATCTGGTCCACTCTATTGTTTTCAGTTCCAGTTTCCTTCCCATCCCTATTGGTTCTCCATGCATCTTCCTTCATCTCTTTTATGATAACCTTCATTTTTTCATGTAATTTGCACCCCAAATCAACCAATTCTGTGAGCTTCCTGATCACCAGTGTTTTGAACTGCGCATCTGATAGATTGGCAATCTCTTGGTCGCTCAAAAGGATGAGCCCTGGGGCATTGATCTGTTTTTCTGTTTGAGACAAGTCACTCCAGTTATAGTGAGGGGCAATCCTTAGGTGTACACCCTTAGGTGTTCACCAGGGCTGGGCACCCCAGTCGCTAGATTGTGACGTTGTATGCGGGGGCGGGGGCGGGAGGGAACAATGGCGGTAGCTCTGTTCTCCTGGGATCTCAGTCCCTTCCCTGGGATCCTGGGCTGTGCGCTCTGCCCTGGTTCACAATCGCAGCCTCACTGGGTCCGCCAGTTGCTGCTTGTGTACTCAGGGTCCACCCGCTGCGATCTTGCATACCCCGAATGGCTTACGCGCTCCCTCCCGGTTGCCTTATGTGCCCAGTTCTCCCTGTTCTCCGCTGCGACCGGGCGCCTGGCTGCTGCTCGTCTCCGCCCCTCCTACCGGTCTGGATGAATGGGTCTACTTCAACTTCTTGGCTGTCCGATTTCCATTCAGATAAATTCTCTGTCAGTTCTGGGTGTTATTCTGCCTCTAAATTGTTGTTGTTCTAATCTTGGTTGTGCGTGGAGGTATGGTGCGTCCACCTATGCCTCCTCCATCTTGCCGGAAGTCAAATGACAAGTTCTAAAAGGAACTTTTTGCAAAACAAACGTGCAGTGAAACTCTGGGGCAAACCCCCTTAATATGGTCATCCTCCCTCCTTTTCCTGTGCTCTTAGGGCCAGGTAGCGTAGCTTTAATTCCTCAGAGTCCCTGGGGTGGTCTGTTTGTCAAGAGTCAGGGCTCCAGTAACACCTCCCCCATCATGGCCATCAAAATGTCTCCAGATGTTGCCAAATGTCCTTTGAGGGGTACAGTAACCCGTAGTTAAGAACTCTTGCCTTGGGTAATATAGAATAAATGCTTGCTGAAGAAACTTGGCTGAGTATTTCAGGTTTTTCCTATTTTATTGTACCAAGCATGTTGATGGCCACAAGAGCGACATGGGTGACAGCCCTGCCCCAGGACACCCTTCCTGATGTGCCCCTGGACCTCTGAGAGCATACATAGATCATTCCGCCCATGTGTTCCCCGTGCCCTGTATCACTGGCTTTTGGCTTAGGCCTGACAGCCCTCATCCTTGTTGGAGGCTGTGAATAGAAACCCTGCTCTTTGTCCTCAGGAACAGACACACGTTTAAGATAAGCCCCTTAATTATAGAATGAGCATGTGGCAGGCACATCCTCAGCTTTGTAAGTCCAGTTTTCAGAACATCTTTTGTAGGATTTAAACAGCCTGACTTTAGGTAGCAGTCTTGTTTTTCACTAAACATGTTGGCATGACTCATCTTTGACTCCTTTCCCTTTCTCTTCAGAAAGGACCTAAGTGTGAAATACCCTGAAGACCTTCCCATCACCCTTCCAAATCTGCTGAGGTTCATTTTGCATCACTCAGACCCTGCTTCTGTCCCCCAGAACTTGGCTAACCCTTCTACCAACGAGTGTCTTCAGAGTGAGACAGTCTTACAGCAGGGGCACATCTCCCATTTGGAGAGGGAGATCTGGAAGCTGAGGGCTGAAATCAGCACCCTTCAGCGAGCACAAATGCAAGTGGAGGCCCAGCTTTCGAGTGCTCGTAGGGATGAGCACCGGCTGCTGCAGCGCCAGCAGACCCTGGAGAAGCAGCACAGCCTGCTCCAGCTGCACAGTGAGCAGCTGCAGGCCCTGTATGAGCAGAAGACCCGGGAACTTGAGGAGGTGGCCCAAAAGCTCCAGGAGCTAGCCGATGCCTCAGAAAACCTGCTCACAGAGAACACATGGCTCAAGATCCTGGTGGCAACCATGGAGCAGAAACTGGAGGGCAAGGACGGAGCTGAAAATCTCACTCCCCCAGAGGAGGTGCACTCTGACTACCCTGAGCCCTCAGGGGCCCCCTGGTTACTTGGTAGCACCCCTCCACCTGCCAATATCAGCTCCCCGCTGGCGGCTGAAAGGAGCAATGAGAATAGGACAGACTAACCTTTTAAATGACATGAAATCAGAGATGAATACTGTACATTGGGAATATATTTATGCAAATTTTATTGAAATTTATTGTAAATAAAGATTTTCTCAGTGGTCTAGAAAATCAACGTGAATGTCATTCAGCTTTTATTGAACAGGGATGACATCCCTTGCACTTATTGCACAAACTTGGTAACTTTGAGACAAAAACAGTAGCACAGTCCACTTGAAGATTTGTCTGAAAAATAAGTCCATACTTTAGTGGCTCAGTGTCAGAGTTCCCTCCCCATTCCCCTACTGTTGCTATTGCGATGACATATAGGATGAAAGGTTAATTTGACTGAAAACTTGAACGCAACATGGGCTATTCAGAAGGAATTCAGTGAGAGGTCATAACTTACTAAGCCAGTTGAGTGTGGGGTTTGGGTGTCTATGCTAAAAAAAGTAGCTATTATGACAAATAACAGTGAGAGCTATTATGTGGTTGTTCTCCAGTTCTACAGGCACTTTCACTCTCTTCCCAGAGACCCCTATGAGTGCCTCACTGTGCCTGTGACGCCCACCTGACACAGCCACCATGCTCATGGGCTTGATTCAGGCTGCGAAGATGTCATCTCTGGCAACTGGGGAGTGGGATAAAGAACTTCCAGAAGTGAAACTAAGGAGAAAGCGACATTTCAGCATTTCAAAACCAAAACTTCACTGGCACAGTAGCAACCTCAGGGCAAGCCTGACAGATAAGTGATGGTCATTTTCAGGGTCAGGCTCAGAGACTAAAAATGCAAGTCCCAGGTGCTCCTGGGTTTCTAAGGTGAACGTCAGCCTAGGTGTTTACTGCTGGCTGCAGACAGTAGAGGTAGAAAGCTTGGAAGTTCTGGAATGCGAGGGGAATGGATCAAATGTCTCTCCACCTTCCAATTTTTCTTGAGTATCCTTCATTAGAAAGCAAACCTTCTCCCTGATTTTTAAGTCGGCACCTTTGGAACTTGTCCCCACTGCCAGCCTACAGGGCCTCGGCTGGTTTCCAGCCTAACTCTCATGCTTGGCCATCCCCAGTTAGGGGCCAAAGACATTTCTTGCTTTCAGCTCAAATTGCCTAACTAGCTACCCTTCTCCCTCCCCCCAAGCTATTACTTAATGTTTGATCCCCCAATTTAGGCATACACTACTAAAATAAATGTTCCCTAAGCTCCCTCCTTGGGGTTCTAGAAAGTAGATGTGGTTCAACATGCTTTTTAGAGGTGATTTGAGTGAGGCAGGCCATAGGTAAGCCACCTTCAGCCTGACCAAGAAGTCAGGGCTCTGATGGTGGTAGGGCTAGCAGGAGAGGCTGAGGCCCCCTTGGGAGCAACCTGCCCTTGCTGCTGACAGGCCACTCATGGCCATTGCATCCAGTTTAAGCCAGGGCTGGCCTCCAATTTATTACTAAGGATGCTGATACAAGCCATAGTTTATAATTGTGATAGTCAGAATGTGCTTAACAGTGGTGGGATTAAAAACCTAAGCAAGTTCACTGAAGTGTACACAAGTGACATCTTGGAGATACAGGCTGTGGAGGCGCTGGCCCGATCCAAGAGCCACTGACTCTTCATCTTTTTGAAAACTAAGTACTCAACCTGAAACTCACTCTCCTGCCCACCAGGTCCCCCAGGTGCCTACTAAGCTTGGGCAGTTAGGGTGTGTCTAGGGGTTCCTGTGTACACATGCACATAAGAAATGCCTTTCCACTGCAGTTGGTACTCTCCTAGGGGGGTCAGGTGACTCTCCTAGGTGACCTGTTGAGGAAAAGAAAATGCAGTACCCAGTGGGTGGGTAGTAATTTAAAGGAAGCAATTTGTGAAAAGGGAAGGAGTGGAGGAAACCTCAAAGTCCCCTTCCCCTCCCCCCTCCAGTGCAGAAAATATTTTAAATACAACAACAAAACCACAGTTTTCTCTCCTGGGCCAATTGGGTTTCAGATAAAAGTAGCCACTGCCTGCTCTGAGAAGCCTGCGCTGAGTAATGCCCGGTGGGGACATGGACAGGGACAGGGAGTGCTCAGCATGCTCAAGACCAAAGGGGCAAGAAACTGCTCTGCTACTAGGATGCCTGGCAGCCCTCAGGACGTGTGCCCTGACCCGTCCTTCACTGGCTCCCAAGCAGCTGCAGTAGCTTCCTTGCAATAATTCCGCTATCAACAGGAACTGGTATTTAACGACCAAACCCATCTAGAGAAAGAGACGGTGGTGTGATCCATCCACTGCTAACCAAACAGAAATCACAACACCCCAACCGGTCAGCTCCAAAACTTAAAACTGACATGTCATATCCTCTATGTACACACACACATATATTAGAGGCTCCTGCCAAGTGCAACTTGGGCCTCACATGTCTAACACCCTCACCCACAGCCTTGACTCAGCTTATTAGTATGGTCAGTCCCATGTACATTATCCGGTATTTTTTAAAAATCAGCAAAAGGTTTAAGCACGTGCTTCTGGGGCCTATTTACAGTTCACAGGTTTGTGAGTTCACGCATTACAGTAGTAGTAGCTCCATCAAGAACAGGCTCAGCTAAACATTCAAGTAACAAAAGCGCTATGGGGCCTTGAACCCAGCAAGGTGAGGTCTACCCACTGCCAGCAATGGGCAGCCCCACCAGGAGGCGGAGGGGATGCCCAGGGCCACTGAGTCCTGGCTTAGGACAGCTGGGACCCCAGGACTCAGTGCATGTGGTGATGAAGCCCAGCGAGGCCATGCCAGGGAGTGTCAACCCCTCCTCTCAATGGCAGCCTGTCTGTGGTTTCCCCCTCCCACGCTTCTCAGTTGGCTGCAAACAGGCCCAGGAGCCTCCATATCCCAGCTCAGCTGTGCACTTCTGGGCCGTTGGGGGTCAGCTTGGCCTTCCTCTCCACACATGGTCCCTTGGCTGAGTACTGCACCAGCAGGAAGGGCTCCTTGGTCTCGCCATCCCCCACGATGCTCTCCTCATCCTCTGACTGGCTGATGCGCTGCAGCCGCAGGTAGCACCAGCAGCCCAGGATCAAGGCCCCCAGGGCAGCGATGGCAATGAGGATGACAATGACTGTGACCACACCTGTGGTGGGGCTGTGGTCCATAATAGACATGGTTGACGCTGGGGGAGGCTTCCTCAGCAGGAAGCTCTTGGGGGTGATCGGATCAGTGAGGCTGGAACTCAGGATGGACACGAGAGGCCTGAAAGACAAAGCGACATGAAACTACATCGGGGACTCTGCAAGGCACTGACAGCCCATGAGCTTGCATTGACTCTTCCATAGGGTCTATTTTTAATCAGTTCTGAAGCCCGACCATCCCACCCTCATCCTAGTGAAAAACACACTGGTTGGCATTTGCTGTTCCTTTGCTTGTGGTGTTACCAGCCTTTTCCTCACTCACTCTGGCCCACCTCCATTCACTACCTTTGGTGCTTCTGCCACCAGACAGGCAGCCACCCTGGCCCAGCCACAGAGCCTGAGATGTGGGCAAAAGGGGCGTCTACAACCTGTGACCCAACTGCAGCATGAGCTTGAAAAAGGGCTTCATTAAGGTAAATGCTCTGGAAGCCCAGCCCCTCTAGGTGTTCACAGGAGTTCAGGGACTGAAAGCCAGTGCTTCATGATGGCCAGAGATGAAGGATTCGACAGCAGGGAAGTGACATCAGCCTCTCCCATGAACAGGTGACATGTAGCTCAATCAAGTCTTCAGGAACACCTGCCAGAGGGTACAGGCGATGACAGCCTTTGCCCACAGGAATACTGCAGCCTCCTGGGAAGAGCCCTGGTCCACCTCACCATCTGAAGGGCAGCAAGGCAGCAGAGTCCTAGAAGATGGAGGCACTTGAGAGAGACTACTTGCCCCTCCCCAAGCTCAGCATCTGGCACAGGCGCCAGACTGCAAATGGGTCAATATACCAAACACCTGAACTACAGATGCAGAAATGCCATACCAAGACAATAGGGGACTGGGTCCCACGATGCTAAACTGGGTAGGGCAGGAGATACTTAGGGAGGCAATGCTGATGCCAAGATGTCCAAGAAAAGCAACTCTTGGGGAACAGCATTTCTGGGGAACAGCGTCTACCAAGACTCTGAAGGCCAGAGAGGGCCTATAGGCAAGTGCAAGGAGCTGAGGGTGCTAGTGGCTGAAGCTGGACCATCAGCTGGTTTGGGTGAAGGCAGGAGGGGGTGTATATGCTGGACCACCAACTTCTGGCCTCCTAACCTCAGACAACTCTCTCCACCTCACTTGAGCCCCTGCTAATGGGGGCTGGTGAGAAGCAAAGGAAAGTGCAGCTGCAGGAAGTGTAGAAGCTACAAAAAAAACCCAGACTCACTGTAGGTGAGGCTAGCTAGCAACAGCCTACTGAGATTAGAAGTGCTGAAGCTAGCAGGCTCCCCTGGGTCCCAAGACCCTGCACTTTATTTCTCATGTCTCACCATAAGCAGAGCAAATAGCAGTAACTAACACCCAGGTGGCTGTGAGAATGCAGGAAAGCACCAAGTCAGCACTCACCGAGAGTGACTGTTTGAATTCGTTTTTGTTTTGAGAAGACTGATATCAATGCAGGTAGACAGGTTGGAAGAGGAAGGTTTTCCCTCTTAAGAGGATGGGATCTGCTGTCCTTGAGCAATAACAGCTTTAACTAAAAATAAAAATGATTTTTTGCACACTAGGAAGTCTTTCCTCTCCCAAGGCCAGGTCTGCCTGAAGGTCAACACCCTGGAGTCTGTCTGGGGACCAGGCCCTGGAAAAACCCTATAGACCCCTGATTTCCACTTGCCACCATGCCCACATTTGCAGAAGGGTCCTGGGCAGGAGAGGGGTGATAGCTCTAGAGTCTGCTTTCTTCTTACCACCTCCAGGGTCAATAACACTGCGATCACTCTCAGTGGGCTCCCTGGTCCACCATGCAGGCCCATTGCAGCTAGTGCCCTTGTCTTCCAGAGGAAGAGCCCCCAAGTCTTTATAGTGACCTACAGAACCTGGTATGCTGCACGCCCAGGCCAGTCCCTCTGCCCAAATGTTCTGCTCCCCTTACCCTTGTTCAATGGTTCTCAATAGGGCAACTATGCCCGCCAGGGAACATTTGGCAACATCTGGAGACATTTTTGATGGACATGACTGGTGTGTATGGAGTGCTACCAAGTGGATAGAGAGCAGGGATGCTGCTCAAGATCCCACAGAGCATGGGACAGCCCTCTCCCACCCCAACAAAGATCAATAGTGTGGAGGTCAAGAAACTCTGCCCTTGTTAACTCCAGCTCGGGCAGGGAAGTCTCCTGATCCCACAGGCCAGAAGGGTATCTTGGTACTGTGAGTACACTTGATTCCTCCCTCCAGGGCACTAGACTCAGTTTGCAACCCTGCTTTTGTAGCACAGCCATCTGGTTAGCACCCACCTCCCCCATCAGACTGTATATGCTGCATGAGTAGCTCTGCACCCCTCTGTGCCCCAGGTGTACAGGTCATCCTTGCCGCTCCCCTGCCACTGTTAGGGCTGTTGTAGTTTCCCACAACCCCGCTCAGCCTGTCTTCTCAGCCCTCCAGATGGAACAGGTGACTCTCCCCCTGGCCCCCCACCTCAGAGCCTACCAGCTTTGGCTAGGTGAACCTGTCCCAACCTCCATTTTCTCTTCCTGCTCGGGACACCACGTACCTGCCTTGTCCCACTCCACTTCCCTCTCTCCACTGGACCTCTTGTTCCCAGCACTTGCTGGGGTACCTGACCTCCCATCGTGCTCACAGACAGGAAAGGAAGTCAGTATCAATTCAGAAGGGGAAGTGTGTGTTTGAGGAGTGGGAGGGGTTTAGGGGCAGGAAGTGGGAAATCAAATAGTGGCAGCAAGATCTGGGGAGGGGGGACCCCAGGGGCCAAACCTGCTGAAGCCAGTGGTCCTGAACTAATGAGGAAACTGAGGCTGAGGCAGAGGCAGCACCCCTCCAACCCCCGGCTCAAAGGGACTCTCTGAGAGGTGTGGTAACCTCAAAAGACACTAGCTGCCCCTGACCAGGCCAGGAGTGGGCACAACCAGGTCTAGGCCCCTTACCCCCGAGCGCACAGAGCCAGGTGACCAGGCCACAGTCATGCCTGTCCTCTCTCCAAGTGTTTGTTTGTTCCTTCATTCACTCAGCAAGTATTTCCTGAGAATTCATCTTTTAAAAAATCTGATCATATCACCCCCTGTTCAGAACCCTCCCCGATACCAGCAGAGAATCTAAATTCCTTGCCTTCTTGAGCTTCAGCACACCCTCCACCCTCCCACCTCAAAGCCTCTGCCCTTTCTGTTCCTTGTGCCTGGAATGTTCTTCCCTGACTGTCCCAGTTCTGGCTCCCTCCTACTTTTAGGGACTTTCTTAGAAGGTATATCTTGGGGGATGCCTTTCTAGACCACCCCGGCTCCAGATGCCCCTCTACCCCATACGTGCCATCACCTTGCACTATTTCATTTTATTTCCAAGCTCTCTCTGCTACCTGAAATCCTCTTGGGTCAGGAAACATGTTTCCTGGCTTCTGTCTCCTTCCTGCAGTGGACTCTCAGCCAGAAAGAAGAGGGCACTGACCATCTTGCCCGCTGTGGGATTCCCAGCCCCTTTATCAGCACACAACAGGTGCTCAATAAATGTCTGCTGAGTGCTCCAAGCCCAGGGATACAGTGATGAATCAGAGAAGACCGTGTTCTCTTAGGGATCATGGTTGGCAGTATCCATCCCTGAGTCAGCTCCCTCCCTCCAAAGCCACTCCCACGACCCTGGGCATGGGTCCCCATGACTGTCCCAACAGACTCAAGGAAGCCAGCAGCCTTCAGGGAAGGGCAGGCTGCAGCCTGAGTGCAGCGGTAGGAGCAAAACATGCAGGTGGAGCCTGGGCAGGCCCGAGCCCATGGCGGGACAGCTGTCACTGTGAGTGCTGAGTGGTGGGGACAGGAGGAGGCCTCCAAAAAGTAGAGCCCAGAGGAAACCTGAAGCTTGAGGGAGGGAGGCTGGCTGGCCAGCCTGCGCTGGACCCCACCCTATCTGCTTTGCCTCTCCTGGGGCTTCCCCTATCTTCAACCCCCATGCCCCTCTGAGCTAAGGTGTCTTCTGCAAGTCAGCTGCCCCTCATCCTAATCCAGGAAAGCCCCAGGTGGGATATGGAGGGCCACTACTTGGGCAAGGCAGACACGTAAGATGGCATCTGAGAAACCTGACTCCCTCAGGACGATCGTCAGAGTAGTTAACATTTGTTCCATACAGTCATTTAATTTTCCCAAATCCCCAGCAGCTAACACTGCTTGCCGTTATCATCCCCATTTTACAGATGAAGAAACTGAGGCACAGAGCATTTGAGTGTACTGACCAAGAGTAGAAAGCTAGGAAGCAGGATGTGACCTCAGAAAGGGAGTCCAGCAGAGCAAAGGGTAGGGTCTCCCAGTACAGAAAGCCAGGCCAGCTTGGGGACCACAGCATAGCTAGGGGCCTGTGGTCTCTGGGCACTGGAGATAGGCAATGGACTAGATTTCTCCACCCCACCTATGTAGCAGGGGTGTCCAACCCATGGGCCCATGGGCCACATGTGGCCCAGGATGGCTAGGAATGCAGCCCAACACAAAGTCATACATTTACTTAAAACCTTTTTTTGCTCATCAGTTTTTGTTAAGTGTTTGTGTATTTAATGTGTGGCCCAAGACAATTCTTCCAGTGTAGCCCAGAGATGCCCAAAGATTGGACACCCCTGCTTATGCAGCATCTCCATGCCAGCTCCCTCAGGACAAAGGTTGGCACCGAAAATCCAAGGCCATTGGATCCCCCCCCCAAACATACAGGGCCAATCTCTACCCTCCCTGTCTCCTTCAGCCAAGGGTGGTCTGAACCTCACCTTGGATCTCACCCACTACTCCCAGTAAAATAAGACCTAATGCCCAGCCTCTCCAGTCTGCAAGGCCACTCCTTTGAGCTCCCTGCCCCTTGTCCCCTCTGTCCACCAATGGCTTCAAAAGGACAGTCCTCAGCCAACACCTCCCACTGTCCTGCTGTCCCTAAGAGGCCCCCAGCTTACATCTTCCTCAATATAAGGTGAGGTTCCAGTTGTCCCTGCCTTTTCACGAGGCCCCCAAACTTAAGCCATAACCCCACTCAACAGGTCACTGCACACACTCAAGGCCCAGTGGGACCACAGCCAGCAAAAAGCAGATTTGATACTCCTTCACTCCACCCCGTTTCTTCACCTGTTATTGTGAACTGTTTTGACCCAGCCAAGCAAGCTTCACTGGCCTGTTTCTCAGTGTGCAAAACGGGGATGAGGCCCTGACCTCACCCATCAAATTTGGGGGGGCATGAGAAGTGGTAAGAAATGTGAAAACAAAGGGCCACGGGGCTACCAGGTTTGCTTGTCACCAGGTACCACACCCTCCTGGGTGCCACAGAGAGGACAGTGAGCCCTTAGGATCCCTGTTCCCTCGGGACTTGCCTTGCAGCAGGGTACAGAGCCTGGTCCAGACCCAATGCCACAAATAGTCCCTTCCTCAGGGACACTTTGCCACAGCCTTCTCACTTAACTGGGCATATCATGAGTTTCACCCAGTCCAGCTGGATACTAGCTCGCCACTCCCGCCTTCTCTGGCTGCCCTGTTTAGAGGGAGCCAGCCATCCCCCACCCCAGGGGATTCCAGCACGGCCCTCACCCCCAACAAAGCCATCTGTTAAGTGTGCCAACTATCTTCATCAGACCCCAGTTCACAAATCAGAAACATCTCCTGCCAGGTTTCTGATTAGGAACATAGAATGGTAGAGAGGATGGGGCACTGCTGGGCACAGTCAAGGTGCAAGTGGAACATTTGCTCTGTTTTAAGCCCCAGCTGGCCAGCACCAAGAGAAGTGAGGATGCTCATGGGAGAGTAACAATTACAGGGCTGGGCCCGGCTCTGCAGCCAGTGTCATCTCATCCTCCCACCCCCACCCTCCTGAAGAGGAAACTCGCACCAGAACCCCGCAGGTTCCCATCTGCAGAAGAGGAAGCTAGCTGGGGCAGAGCCTAGGGACTGCCCCAAGGTCAGACTGGGTCTCCTACAGCCCAAAGCTTGAGACTCATGCCCCCACCCTTCAGCCACTGGCCATTCTCAGTGGCTGCCCCAGGGTCAGCCCACTTGGTTAAACAAGTTTAGTAATAACAGATGCCTGACAAAAGTTGGAGATGATTACTATGTGCCAGGCACCGAGGTAACACTTCACACGATCATCTCCTTTCAGCCTCAAAACAACTCTAGATTTGAGTTATTACTATGTCCACTTGGCTCAGAGAAGTTAAATCAATTGCCCAAGGTCACACAGCTCAAAATTAGCTGCACAGGGATTCAAATCCAGCAAGCCTGAATCCAGAATCTTGATTTCAACCTTAACTCTTAGAGTGTGATATTCTTGGCACACACTTCCCCATTCCCATGCTAGAAAGGCCAGGAGACAAGTGACCTCCAGTGAGACCCCCCCCCCACCACCCAGCAGGGGCAGCTGGACGACCTGGGCAGAGGGTTCTATGCGGGGTACACAGGGATGACAAGCACCCCAGCAGCTCGCGGGTGCTGAGTGCGGACAACGTGCAGGCGCTGTGCCAGGCGTGCTCCACGCATCCTCTCATTTAATCCGCTGAGCCGATTCCTTCGTCTCCCCCATTCTACCAAGGAGCTGTGTGAGGCTGGAAAAGGGGCTTGGCCCAGAGGGCGACAGCTGGAGGGGGTAGGAGAGCTGGAGAGACAACTCCAGTCCTCCTGAAAGGGCGGGGGGACCGGGGACCACGAGACCCAGTCATGCCCACGCCGCGCAGCCACTGCCGACGGAACCTGGCACCAAATGCTGCGGCTGTCCTCAGTTTCTCCACCTGCCAAATGGGCGCCATCCCTCACTAGTACCCCACCCCTACCCCCAGGAGCCCTCTTAACCACCCTGGGGGCTGCCAGGACCCCGGCTTCGTCCGTTATTTAAAAAAAAAAACTGCGAAGTGTCGGGAGAAAATAGGCCGACCAGGGGCACAAAACTGTGGGCCGTGGTAGGGGACATGCACCGGGTAGGGGGAAAGGGGGGGACACAAGCTCCTCTCAAAGCTGCCGCCGCCCCCTGCCGCCTTCTTTGTCCCGATCTCGCCGCAGCGCAGCGGACAAAGAACCCCCGCCTGCGGGCGCGGCCCCCCGGAACAGACCCTCCTCCTGGAGACGCGTCCCCGCAGAACTGCCCCTCCCCCGCCGCAGGGACGCCCCCCCACCCCAGTCCCGCGGCTAAGCTGCCGAGCGCTCGCCCCCACCCCATTCCAGGTTGCCCCCTCCCCTCCTGCGAGACCCCGCCCGACCCGATCACCCAGCTCATTCAGCCTCACTCACCATGGCGCCGCCTGCAGCCCCGCTAGATCGCCCCGCAGCAACCCTGCGGGCCCGGCTCCGCCCGCCAGCCAGCCCGGTCCGGCCCGGCGCACAGTCCGGACGCAGGAGCCTAAGCTCTGCGGCGGGCGGGGCAGCTTAGGCTACCACCCCGGACGGGGGCGGACCCCGCCTGGTGCAGCCAATGGGAGCCCGCGCTGGGACGGCGGGGCGGGGTGGAGTCACGTGCTCTCGGGGCCCGGGCGGTTAAGGCTGGGCGGGGGCAGCACGCAGCTGGCCGAAAGGGGGCGGTGGGTGAATTAGTGCCCGGCCTAGGGGGCTTCGGAGCCCGGGGCTCCTGGCCCCGGGAAACCTCTCTCCAACCTCCGGAGGCTACCCTTAATCAACTCTGGTTTGCAGAGGGGAAACTGAGGCGCACAGCAGATAAGAATGTTGCCACGAAGGGGGACCGGCGGAATGCCGAGCAGGGCAGGAGATTAGGACCCCTGAGTTGAATGTTCTTGCTTAGGACGGGAGCTGGTCACTAACTTGTTCTTTAGTTCATGTGTTGTCTTGTCTCTTCCCTTTCCCTTCCCTTTCCCTTTCCCTTTCCCTTCCCTTCCCTTTCCCTTCCCTTTCCCTTCCCTTCCCCTTCCCTTCCCTTTCCCTTCCCTTTCCCTTCCCTTCCCTTTCCTTTCCTTTCCTTTCCTTTCCTTTCCTTTCCTTTCCTTTCCATTCCATTCCTTTCCTTTCCTCCCTTCCTTCCTTCTTCCCTTCTTTTCTTCATTCAGTATTTTTGGAACACCGACCATGTGCCTGTTAGGCCAGTAGCTTCAAGATCCACCAGCAAGAAGACAAGGTTCTCGCAGCCCTCAGGGAGCTCTCATTCTGATGAGGGCTGACGCTGCTGGGAATTTGCAGCCCCTTGGCTGTTTATAATCATGATTATTTAACATAATAACCCCGATTAGGCCCCTACCAACTGCCATGCCCTGTAGTAACCACTCAACACATTTTATCAAGAGAGCTCGGAAAGGAAGAACTATCCCGTTTTACAGATGAGGAACCCGAGCCTCTGCAAGGCAGAAGTACCACAGCTAGCTTGTGATGGAGGCAGGATTTGAGGCCTGGCCTGGGAACACTGAGATGCTAGTTAGTGCAGTGATTTCCACTTGCCTACCCAACAAGGGAGTTCAGTGAGAGGACACCCTGCCTTGTAGCCAGCTGGGGCCCCCAAGAGGGTGAGGGTGGGTCCTGCATGACCTCTGTGGCCCAAGTTCCCTGGGCCACTGCCTCTGGCTTGGAAAGCAGGAAGGGGCAGGTGAAGCACTCATTTTGGGAGCTGGGGGGGATTGTTGGCTGGAAAGGTCTCCCCCAGCCTTTTAGTGGATCCTTTGGGAGAAGATGGGGACACAACTCACAAGGCCATGGTGGCCAGGCTCTCCTTACTCTCTTCACTGCAGCCTGGACCAGCTCTCTTTCCTGCTTCAGATATACCAAGTTGTTTCCCATCTCTAGGCCTTTGGTATGTCCTCCAGCTGAAACATTCTTCCACTTCATTTTTCATATCTCCACCTAAATGGCCTTCCTCAGGAAGGCCCTCTCTGATTTCTACCCAAGAATGGTTTCCTTTGAAATTGTATATTGTCTCCTCTGTGCGTTGTGAAATTGTACATTTTTCAGTGTGCATGATTAACTTTTGGTCTGTTCCCCAGGAGTAGGTCAGTTTCATTCAATACCATGTGTCTGCAGGATAGTACCTGGCACACAGTATGTGCTGAATGCATGTGTGCTGAATAAATGAATGAATGAATGATTAGGCTGCAAAGCTCCAGGCCTGGCCCAGCTGCATCTATGCCAAGAGGGCAGCCCCAGATAGTGAAATGGTAGTTGAGCAGGAATGGGGGAAAGAGAGACAGAGGGACGCCCAGCTCTAGGCCAGGTGCCCCAGAGGCCAGAGCCAAGTGTCTCAAACAGCTCCTGCTCACCAGTATGTCCACCACTGTCCTCAAAGGCTCATGCTCCATCAGCCACACCTGGAATCCTAGAGCAGAAGGAAACAGGTTCTTCCCACAGACCCAGTTACAGTGGCCTCTGTGGTCCCAGCCTGAAGTTGTCAAAGACCTCATTAGTGGTGAAGATGTGGGAGGGGCCAGGGCTGACCCCTGGGAGGGGTCAGAGCCAGGGCTGGCAAAGTGATGACAGAGGAAGCGGGGACACTTTTGGAGACAAGGTTCTAGTAGGAAAAAATGGTGAGGTGGAGTGTAACATGGCAGAGAAGTTGAGAGTTAGACTGCCTGGACCCAAATCCAGCCTTTCCTGCTGGGTAGCTTTGGAAAAGCAGCCTATCCGCTCTGTTCCTCAATTTCCTCCTCTGAAAAATGGGGGTCAGAGTAAAGTTGACTTCACAGGTTCTTGCAGCCCTCGGGGAGCCCCTCACTTGCTGTTGTGAGCACCTCAGGTGCTTGGTACATAGGCAGCAATCCCACCCGTTCACTGGTAACATTAGTAACAGGGTCAGACAGGTGTGGGGTGAACTTGGGCTTCCCCATTTGGAACTTGGGCAAGTTACTACACCTCTCTGAGCCTCAGGCTCCCCATTTTCATGTGGATCTCATGTAACATACCTCTGGGGTGCTAAGAAGCAGGGGCCTCGGAGTACCTCACCTGGTCCCAGACTAAGTTGCTTCAATTGTAACAATAACAATAAATAATAAAAATAGCAGGAAACACTGTTTGAAGCACTACATGTGCATGAACTCATTTTAATCCCCATTTTACAGATGGGGAAATGGAGGCACAGAGTGGCACATGTGCACAGAGATCCCCTGGGGATCTTTGTTAAAATGCAGTTGCTGACTCAGTAGGTCTAGGCATGAGAGTCTCCATTTGTCACAAGCTGATAGTTGGGGACCACACTCCGAGCAGTGAGAGGCTAAAGCCCTTGGTTAAGACTATATAGGTGGTGAGCAGGGAACCTGGATTCAAGCTCACACAGTAGGCCTCAGAGTCTTGTGCTTAACTGCCAACCTAACTGCCTGTCCCAACCCCAGGTTTCTCCCCTACAAAGAAGAGGCAGGAAGTAGAGCTCCCCTCCCCAAGCTCATTTCCTCTCCCGGGGGCCTCTACCATTTCCCTCCATGGTGACATTTGGCCTTTAGAACCTCCCTGCTTCCAGTGTCTGAGGGGTCCTGCCTGTTAGTTGCAGGGAGGTTCTCAGATGCTCATTAGCCAGGAAGATAACTAAGGGCAGGGGATGAGCTCACCCTGGCTCTCTAGGGGCTTGCTGTGGCCCATTTGAGTCTGCCCTATGCCAGCCTGGCCCTGTGCCTGCTTCCCTTTGCCTGAGAAGCTGGGAAAAGAAGGGACTTGCTAGGCCTCAGCCAGCCTCATGGAAGACTCCCTCCAGCTGGGCCTCCCTGCCTAGCTCACAGCCAACAGGCTGAGCAGGCTTCTACTCCACTGGCATCCCCATAAGTGTTCCAGGCCTAAAAATGATACGAAAACTGCTTGGTTAGTGAGGAACTCCTCAAAGAGCGAGAGGTGACCCATGGTGAGTTCTGCAGGGTTAGGTTAGGTGGGACACAGAGAGCGCATCACCTAGCAATGAATCATACAACAATTCTCATTCAAAGGGAGAAAGCCTCACTTGCTCTTCTGTGGCTTTAACATCTCTTCACACCAGCTTCCCTTATAACCAGGAGGTTGCAGACTTCAAACTTAGAGTTTTGGCAATCCACACTCTTAAGCTAGAGTTTAATAATGTGTCATTTTGGGGGTATTTATGTTCACAGTTACCTTCTGTTTTGGGCACAATTATTGCTTTTCCATTTGTGATAGTGACATGTCTATTCCTTTTTAAATCCATCCATTTAGGGGGGAAATGGTGAATTAACTTAAAGCAAAGTATTAATGGAAGTAGCTAGCAGCGGTATGGGGAGATGAAAACAGTGGGGACAGTGGCAAACATGGCTGAAGCGGGAGACCTGCTGGAGATGAAACAGAGGGCTGCTCACAGCCCTGGCACCCCACAGTCTTCTTACTGCAGGGCCCATCAGACTACTCAGCCTGGAGATGAAAAACATCCCACATGCTCCACATCTGTCAGAAAAGTCCATCTAGGTTGTCCTGGGTTGAATGGAGCCTGGTTTGGCTTTGGTCCTTATGCCTGGGGTCCATGGTATCAGTGTGATGAGGAACAGACTAAGGGAGGGGAGTTGGCTGTCCAGCCTGAGGTGCTCCCCACCCCCAGCCTGCCCTGCTTTTCCATCTTGTAGCATTGACGCCCCCAAACACACATACACATGTGAGTGTGTGTGCACGCACACACACCCCTGAGCATTGGAGCTTGTTAATCATCCACCCATTCATTCAGTTATTCATTGATTCAAGCAATCATTATTAAGCACCTACTATGTGCCAAACACTGTGCTAGGTGCTGGGGAGACAGCCGTGAGCCAATTAGGCAAATCTTAGTCCTCATGATGTTTATATTCTCCTGGGAGAAGACAGATGATAAACACAGAAATCAGTACAGTATATGGCATGTTGGACAGTGTATGTACCATGAAAAAAGAATCAGCTAAGAGGTGTGAGAGCATGAAGAGGTCGAGGTGTGGATGTCCTCTCTGAGAAGGTGTGCTTGGCACTGTGACAGATGCAGCCTTGTCCCAGCACCAGGAAACTCACAGATGTGGAAGCAGGCAGACAATGAGTGAGCACTGGGCAGGGGTCTCTCTTATTTTTATTTTTAAGTGATTTTATAGTGAACTTCAGGTACACAAAATGATAGACAGATTACAATCCAGATCATGGTGTATTCTCTTTTTTGGCCCTTATATGACCTGCTTTTACTTAAAATTTCATAGTTATTTTAATCATGTAATGCATACCAGGTAGCTCATCAATCAAAACAAAAGCTAGTGTCCTAACAATGGCCAACATTCAATTCTGAGATTCCCCCCATCCCATCCCCTGCCTGGGGTCCCCTTTGTACATTTTAATTATACCTATATCCTAAAAGCATAGTTTTAAATTTTAGTTTCTTCTTACTAACTTTATTAAAAGGGTATATTAGTTTCATAAGGCTGCTGGGACAGATTACTATAAAGTGGGTGGCTTAAAATAAGAGAAATTTTGGACTTCCGGCCAAGATGGAGGCCTAG